TCCAAAGAAATACAGTGTTGATTCTCATAATCCTGTTTGTGTCAAGCTTCTTCAAAGATTAATGTTGACCACTACTGACTATTTTGTTAAGAAAGATCTGTAGGAAACAAAAATCAAGGAAAGGCACAAGAGACTCAAGCAGTGTGGGAAAGTAACTTCATAATTCTATTCATAAATTCTGGAAGCCTCATATTTTGAAGTGAAACAAAGTGAAGTGGGAGCCAAGGTTTTATAGATAGACTTGATTCAAGTTCTCATATCTTCAAGTTAGAAGATATAACAAAAATTCATTTTCGCTATTCCTGCCAAAAGCCTGAACCTGTTTCATTTTCTTTTAGTGTAAATGAATGGTTTCCATTTTAGTAACAAAATTCCATAAGGATAAGTATGAAATTCTAAAAAGGCCCTAGATCTTAAGAATTTTAAGTTCGTAGCAAGATGGACAAAGAGCTTTGCCTTCTGAAAGCACTGGCTACTCTACAGTCTTCCTGGCTTGGATTTTACTTCTGTGTACTGACACACTTTTATAATTGATTGAATATTTATCAGACACAGCAGTCTAGACTTTTCCTCTGATTTTTAAAGGCAGAAAAATAAGATTTTTTTTTCATTTTCATAGCCAAGATGTTCAGTTTTTCCAGAGTCATTCTACAATTTTCCTAGCCTGAGGAAGAATGACCACACCATTAAATTAAATTCATGTAGTCATTTCATGGTTACTGTCACTTCCTGTTCTTACTTGAGCTTTGTTGAAGTCAGCTTGAATATGCATTGAAGGAGCAATTATTTTAAAATTAGGCATTTTGAAATTAAAAATCAATTTTTAATTCACCTCTAAGACTGTCTTGCTTTTCTTAGGTAAAGTAGCAGTTTCCAGGTTTTCTTCAGCTGGAATTCTTTTTATTTCATGCCTAGATTTTGAGACTTCCTTTTTTCCCTTAATGGCACAAATAACCTTGTTTGTTAAATGCCGGTAGCCAAGATCAAGGCTACTTAAGATTTGATAGTCAGATGTTGATGTACTCCTCGCACAAGTCAATGAACTTACCCTGTCAATGTTACTTAAAAGAAAGTAAGCATGCTTCCAGTTCTTGGAGACGAAAAAATTGAGACAATCACAAGGTAGATGAAGCTGGGAAGAACCAAGTCCAAGACAAATGGTTCAGGTCTTATACTGGAATGTCTGAAAGTATGCTTCCCATGCTTTCGTCTGTTACTTGTATTTTAACGTGAATGAATTTTAATATTTTGATTGACATTGGATCTCTAAGTTAGGAGTCTTTAAAACTAGGTAGGAAAAATTATACTGTCATAAATAATTAATGAAATATGACAAGGAAGTGCATTATCTCATAAGCTAATGAAATTACACAGAACTTCGCAGGCAGCATTACATTGTTTTAATAAATTTAACCTGATTCATATACGTAAAGAAACCTAAATGTCTTTTCATGACTCTACTGTACCATTTATTCCTGTACCGATACAAGAGTGTCAACTGAGAATATTTATTTACACTTTTAGTGTAACTTAACTTTTAACCATCCTGATTGAAGAATGGGCACTCTCTTAGAGACTTAGTGACTCAGAAAAATTAACCCTGATTTTGCAATGTTATTTCTAAAGGAAAGTATGGGAACTGATGTGTCATGGCCTGAAGCACTGATTGAGCATCTGGAGAAAGAACCTGGTCAGCCCTGGGAGCACAGGTGAAGGCAATTCACCTGTGAGACAGGAAGGGGGAAGCCTACCTACACCTCTCTTAGACATCCTTTTGAGGGCTGACTACCACTGGGGAAGGATGTCTTTCTGGAGATCCCTTCTTGGTGAAGCTTTCCTCTGTGAATCTGGAATTTTCTGATGCAGATACAGATTTTCTGATACAGAGCAATCTTCCCCTCTTTTATAGCACATTTCTGTTGTGCATGTCCTCTGCTGTCACACCTTTGTTGTGACACCTTTCCCACTGTACTGATCTGTCCAATAGCTGCAAGGAAGTATCGGGTATTTTTCTCATTTTGATTTTAAAGGTACTTATTTCTGTTAGAGGCATCTTTTTGTTGGAAATTCTGAATTAATAGTATAGGACCAATGAAGGAATGAACTTATGGTTTGTCAAGTGGTGATATGGGAGGTGAATCATAACAAATTTTGAGATTAATTCTGATTTTTCAGTTTCGCAGCCTATGCAAATAATATTTGCACAATATTTTTGTATAGAAACCAAAGCTTCTCTGATCCTTTTATTCCTTCCTCCTATTGCGTTCTTTAGCCGTGTCAAAAAAATAACTCCAAGAACAAAATCATTCCCCTTTTAAAATTTGTGTCAAGGTGTCTTGAAAATGCTTTTAACTTTGTTATTAAGTTTGTACGTACGAAATACAGCTTACACTATGAAAATTGCCCTGCCTTTCTAGGCCTTAATTGTTTAATGTTGGCAATATCCTTTCTTTTAGTTATGAATTTGAAGAAGTATTAATGCATTTAAATCCAGTATTGGAAATTTAATTTCAAAATTAAATTTTCGTATTTGAATGTCACCGCGTATAAGCGTAGACTTTAGCTCAAGTTATTATAACATTTCAGCACAATTGAAAAGTTTTTATAATTGGAATGAGAAAATTGCTTGCACTGTTATATCACATAGCTTTATGATCAATTTGTGTAAAATATAGCAAGATCTTTACACTGAATGTTGTTCTTGGATCTGACTTTTTTTTACAGTGTTGTAGAAAGATGAACACTATTTTTCTAATATATTTCTAAGTTTTTCTACTTTTTTTTCTTTTCTAAAGCTAATATGTGAGTATGGAATGTATTTATTCCATTAAGAGGAAAACCTTCTAATGGTTAAACAAACAATCCAATCTGCCTGTTTGCGTGTACAAATCTCTATTTTGCTGAAGTATATCTCAATTTTAGCTTGCTTGCAAATCTTCAGTAATTTTAGGAGGCTCAGAGGGAATTTCAGGTGGTAGCTTGTTTTTCTTGGATGTGTTGTTTCTAGTGAATTCAAGCATTGCTGTGCTGCTTCAGTTTTCCCCTGTGAAAGAGGGTCTTCCTAAATATGAATATTCTGATTATATTATAAATCTTATGATTTTTTTTTTTTTCCTTTGGTAGCATCAGTGTTGCTTATATCCATGTTTCTTGTGTCTTGTGCGAAGAAAAAGTGGAAGACAAAATGGGTGTTTCAGAATACCTGTAGAATAGAAGGCCTTGGCTTGAAACACTTGTACTTTCAAAGCACAGGATGCAGTCAAGTGATGACATTCAGTGTATATTCTGGCTATTGTCTTCACAGAGAGGATGAGAAATCATTTGCTCGGAATTGCTCAGGTAACCCTTTGTGGGCTCGGACATGGGCATGTAGAGTTTATTGTGCAATTTACAAAATGGTAAGGTGACTGCAGATGCAAACCTCTCTTGATGGCTCCCTCAGAAACTTGTTTTAAGTGCTTGAGGCAGGAAGGGGAAAGGCAAAAAAAAAATGGTATGCGAAGCATCACTAGATTTTTATTTATTTACTTGCTGTTGCTTAGAGTCAAGCAGGAGGCAGCTCGACAAAAATATAAAGCTGAAAGTTTAAGCAAAATATGCAGTATTTTTGCAGGAAAGGAAGGCAAATAGAAAATAAAGTTAGACACCAGGGCCTGGTCAAGCACATTGGGACCCACTTGGGTCCCTGGTCTTGGCCATCCTGGCTTTGCCTCCCTCAGCAGCTAAGAGACAGGGATGGTGGGGCTCACTTCTGCCTTGTCCCTGGTTGTGAAGCTGCCATCAGCATGACACAGCAACACTGATGAAACGTTTCCCTGTGCTGTGACAGGGTGCATAGCGAGTGAGATCTGTGAGTGACAGGGGCGAGCTGAAAGACCAGGTTACAGATTAGGAAGCCAGGCCCTGGGGAGTCATGCTATGTTGCTGCAGGCTAGATGCGATTTTGTTGCAGCGTACTCCATAACTGTGATAGTACTTGGGCTGAAAAGCTGTTTTAATTTGATCTGCAGGATTAATTCCCTGGAAGAGACACCCTAGCCAGCACAAGTGTTAGGCAACACTCTCCATCTGTAACCCAATATGTTCTCTAGTAACCAGGGTTAGAGATGCTTCATGACAGACTACATTTGTCCATAAGTAAGAGTGGTCAGACAAAAGCAATTTCTATTGCTCTGTCCTTGCAGTTTTGGCATGCCCCAGTGTTTCACCAGGGAAGAAGTACCATTTGTGCCTCCAACAGAAGCTCCTGACCAAGCTCAGGAAAGTTGGAGGTGCCTGGTTATGAGAGAAGGAGGCAATTGGCAATCTACTGAAGGCAGAAATAACGAGGAGAATCTCCTTGGAAAGCAGCAGCAGAACTGTGCCTAAGTCTCCAGTTTGTGTGTGTATGTGCAGGTGGGGGTCGCTTCTTTTAGGAACTACGTAGAAGGTGCCAAAATTTTGGAAGGTACTGCTTTGCAAATATAAAGCCAGCAGATATACCTAAGATTTTTTTTTATTATTATTTCTCTACATTTAGTATTTCTAAATGTTCTCTACTGGAAGCATCCTTTGTTTTTTTCTGTGTTAATCCCCAGGAGAATATGGGGCAACCAGAGCTCTGACTGATTAGGGGCTCTGCATTTAGTATTAGTCCAAGTGGCTACCTCTTAGCTCAGATAGTATCTGTAGCACTGGCAGAGGAGAGGAAGTGTGAAAATCTGTGCACCTCATCTGTAAAGGCATTGAAAGTGTTTATATTTTATTCTTTTTCCCCCAAATCAGCTTAGGTTTATTTTCCATATACCTTTCTCTTTTTCCTTTGTGTTGGACTGTGTTGCATTGATTATTCTCATTGCTAGTTTTATTCTCTATGGAAATGAAACCTGTTCTAGACCTCAATTATTTTTTCATTTGATTTTTGCCTAGTTTTATTAATAGTTTTATAGAGGAAGATCCAACTCATTTCATTGTATTCCTCTGGAAATCCAGCTGCAATCTTTCTTTTTTTGCTCCCCTAGATCTTAAACTGTGCTATGGTCACATGACTTCTACTTCTCTCTCAACTGGATACGCTGAGTAGCAAGACAAATTTCTTGGAAGTAATCGAGTCAAAAGCATACATAGTGATTTAAAGAAATTGGTGAGTATAAACTTTACTGGTTTTTGTTGGTTTTTTTTGTTTGTTTGTTTTTTAGTACAGTGAAGCCAGGTATTTATTGGCAGCACTGGAGTAGCATCGAGGTAACTCTCCAAGAATGCTCGTCGGTCCAGTCGGTCGTTTGTAAATAGCTTATATTTTCACATGTACTGCACATTTGTTACATTCCCAAATTCATTATCCTATCCACCCCCCTTGATTGCCCACCAGACGTAGCCTTATTCTGCAATTCTCAATGTCATCTAGCCTTCTAGCCTCGTGATGGTCCACTGTTGGATCATTGTTAGTCCTTGGGGGGGTTGTTTATTTCTTCCCAACCCTTCTTTTGTCTGAAAGATTGCTGTGGAAGGCAAGTATGAACGAGAAGGCTCTGCACAAGAGATAAAGAAAACAAAAGGGAGCATCTTGATTCTGACTGTAGGCATTCCGTTATTGCTTTTGCCTTGTTTAAGCAGACTAGCCTTACGTCTCCTCATCTACAGTACTACATCACAATTATCATCCGCAATATCTAAAGCCTACTATATTGTTGTAACAGAATATTTTGTGTAATTACTTCTTCAAACCAGTAGGTAATAATGAGGAGCCCCTTTCTTGTAAATTAGGTTATCATGAACAGAATAATTTGTGCCGCTTTATCTCTGCTTCTGAAAAAATTGCAAGGGAGCTTTGCTGCTTTTTTCATGTTTTATTCTCTTAATTCAATGCCATGTTTTTTCATTTGTATTGAAATTGGGCATAGGAGGAAAACTTAGTTGCTCTCTTTCTGCAAGTCTAGTTAAAGCCAAAGAAGGCAAAGAACATGAAATGTGAGAGAGGTTTTTTTTGTCTAAAATCAACAACTTTTTTCATGTTTGCAATGTGCAACGCAAAATAATACAGTAGTGACTGCAGATTTTGCTAGTATAGGACAGAAGATTCAAATGTGAAACAGGTTTTCTGGAATCTAGGTGCACCTTACTGTGATAGGGATAGACTTATCACAATATGAGTTACTCTGGAGAGAATATGTACTGCTTTCTATTTTGATGGGTCAAATTAGTAGTAGACTGAGAGCATTTCGTGTGCATTGAGCCAAGTAATGTGTTGTAAATGGGCATCATGCTTTGCAAGCTAATTCAGTTCTATAGTTAGATAATGAGAAACAGATGTGTTCCACCTGCATCTGGCTTGGGTGTAGTGTCATGTATACATTTTAAAAACTCTTCTTTTTTTTAGCTGCTCCAATGCAAACGGATTTAGTCCACTAAAGTTATTGTAGCTATATAGAATCTCACGTTTTAAAGTGCGGCTGTGAAGCTCTAGACACTTTTCACTGAAATTCTGACCTCTGTTTCTAGAATCCACTTACTTTATGTAACATATCAAAGTGGTGGGTAAGTCTATTAGAAGAAACATGCTTATTAAATGTCCTCTGAAAAATTTCTCTTTAGATAGTTTCTGATAAAATTAGATATGACAGGTCAAAAATATTGCTTTCAACCTTAGAGTCAGTGCAGTGATAGTGCCAGTCTTTTATGAATATTCAGATGTTAGTGCTATCACATCAGTCAGAGAAAATTGTAGATATTGCTTAACAATTATAGGTTATAATATTTTGTATTTATTTGTAAATTTTCTGTGCAATTTAATGTCAGCTGCTCCAAGTAACTGAATTCATTTTTCACGTAGCAAAAGCTGAATGCAGATGTGTAAGAAGCTTTTAGTGATTCACTAGCTGCTGAAGTTGATCGTCAGCTATGAAAATAGCCTGAAATGAACTAGCAGCACTGTTATGGGCAATCCTTAGCATGTTGTCTTCCAAGACTGCTCAGCATGTTCTGCAATATAGTTTTAGTTGACAAATCACAGTTGTATTGCACATGGATACTTTGGGAAAATGGGGAGCTTAAGCTCTTCTCTTGCATTTGACAGTGTTTCTTCAGCTCCTAAGACACCAGTCTTTTTTTCCACTACTTTGAAGCAGTTATCTGGCTTGTCCTTTGAAATATAGTGTACAGAAAATGCTACCTACTGCTGGGTTACAGAAGATCACACCCTTGTCTCTTGGATTGCATTACTTAGTTAGCTTAGATTCAGTAAATGTAAGAAAATGTGTGGCCTAATTTTCAAAAACAGGCTCTTTGTTCTTGATATTGTATCAAAGTGTATGTTACAATTCTTACAAGATGGTGCACGATGTAAGCTTTTAGTTTTTTCCACTGGTGCAGTAGAAGAGGGAAAAAACCATTGGGCTCAATTTAGGACTCTGTTCATGAGTATGATGATAACTATTGAATTCTTGTCATAATAAACCTTCAGTTTGCTGTTTAAATGAACTGTGAGATCTTTTGAAAATTTGACTGCAGATACTGACATTATCTTTAAATTTATAAAAATTTCATTAAGTTTCTTTCTGATAGCTTCCATATGTAGTCAATGGTGAATAACTGACTTATGATAGAAAAATTCACAATGAATTCTTTAACTGATAAGGAGGATGAAAGATTGAAGTAGTACGTTGAAGAGCTTTGCAGGGAGCAGAAGCCTGTCATTTCACAAGTAGGTGACTGGATACAGGGCAGTTTTCCTGGCAATATTTATCTTCAGTGAGAGAAGAGAAATTTGGTTCAATAGTGCACTGAAATGATTGGAAAGCTTCCAAAGCACTGTAAGTCACTAGGCTTACAACTTTTTCATCTCAATATAATATTGAAAGTGAAATCAGTCACATACTAGGAATCAGATATGAGCTTGATGTTGTCTTTGTTTTTCTCAAGAAACTGAAGTATCAATCTGTCACACGAGGTTCCTTTATATTATTTGATAGGTTAAATTTTATCATAATTGAAGCTGCAATGGGATATGGGAGTAACAATTGTGTTTATTTTTTATTATTATTTTTTAAAAACTTCTATCTAAATTTCTTGATTTAGTCTAGATACTTGTTATTTGTGAATGATACGATTTTACTGTGTATTTTGGAGGTTAAGGGTTTCTTTGCAAAAGTACATAGGCATTGCTGCTTATTTTCCTGATTCTTTGGTGAGAGCTAGGTTCTGTTTTATTGCGCATCCTGAAGTGACTTGCCTTGGAAAGCCTTCAGCAGAGCAATAATGCCTATATCCAGTCTGACCTGTCATCCATTTGTCCACCAAGACTCCCAACTAAAACTTATTTCTAGGAAACAGTGACAAATGTTATTTTTTGTATAAAAAGCACAACTCATCTGTGCAGGAGAAAGAAGCTGGTAAATTATCTGTATCTGCATTTTGTGAACTGATTGTACTAGTTGAAAGATTTATACTTTAGGAAAAAAGTGGCAGGTAAATCTAAAACACCTGTGTCCCTTAGAAACAGCAAGTGAATTACAAAATAGTCCTACTGTATGTAACTTCCTGCTGAGCACATAAATTCTCATTTCCACTTCCAAACTCTAATTCTAATTTCCAAAACATTAGCTTAATCTTGTGCAGATCAGATTCAGCCTACAATTTCCATAGAACATGACAAGAGGAAAAAAAAAAAAAAAAGCAATCATACAGATCAGTTCTCAAGCTATGTAATTTTCTATTACTTTAGGTAAAATTCCATCAAATTCATTTTGGATTTTTAAGCATCCTTGTGGCTAAGGCTTGTCATCACTGAAGTCCAACAAGATGCGATATAAGATTACTCCTTGAACTATACCAGTTAAGTACACTGCAATGTTTACTTAATATTTGTCCTTGGTTTAGATTATCCACTGGAGATATTGTCTTCTCCAGAGGATTCATTGGCAGACATAAATTAAAATATATATTTCTACAGCATATTTTAATAGCATATATGATGGTGAAGCGCAAAGCAACTTTTCATATGTAAATGCTTTTTTTTCCCCAGAAGAAAAACGAGGACCATATCAAACTTTCCTACTTGAAAAACAGTGACAGGTTCTATAATACAGATAAAATCTTGACACGTTATTACTTACCAAAAGAAAAAGGATTTATGAAATATCGGAGTCTTAAGATCTGTGTAGCCCCAAGTCTAAACCATCTCAGTTTTCTGTTTTATTTCCCGGTGTTTTCACTTGTAGCAGACTGATCCATGGCTCTGAGGAGCTATTTTCTTCCTCTGACTTTTAAGGAACGCTCATCATGTAGTACATGTTTCTGTTTACTGACATACAAGCATCTTTCTCCTTCAGAAGAAAGCTATGTCGTTCTAATTATTTTAATTCTCATCTAAACATTAGAGAAATTGTAAAATGTTGCCTTCCAGGTTCTAATACTCTTGAATTAATGTTTATTTTAACTACCATAATAATGACGCTCCTAGGAGATAATTTTTCTTCTATGGATCCTTCACACCGTATTAGATATCTAGTCTGTGGTACAGACTACTTACAATGGATTTGGCTGAGATCAGGTTTCTGGGGAAATGCTTCAGGGTTTCTCTGTGATTTTATTTAACTGGAGAACGCCTGAAGTGATATTCCCATTGAGATTAGCATTATTCGTTTAGAAATTAATATGTTGCTCTTTGTAAAGAAGTCGGAATCTGGCCTTACTAGAAAGATTTGAAGAGATATCCTTTTCTTGGTTAATTTTAATGGTGGAAGCCTTAGCTTTGTACTGTTAGGTGCGTGGTTCCTACAAGTGACTTTTTAATCAGCTCATGCTATGCAAGTTAATGGGAATTCTGTCTCCACCGCAGAAGGTCTGTAAGACTTTTATACTACATGGAAACACTTATTTGATATAATTTTATAGATTGTTTTAACAGACTTTGAATAGTACTTGGTATATGAATTAAGACTTTCTAAAACAATTTACGTAAAATTCTGCTTTTTCTTCTGCTTTAAGGTTATTTCAAAAAACAAAAATAATCCTTGTCAATACCAGTGCTTTCCTGACGGGTGGCAAGAAGAGATATATTGCAAATGAATAAAGAGACTACTCTTTACTTTTGTTTTAAAAATGTTTTAATCTATAGTCTGTTTTTCTCCAAACACTTAGAAAGATCAGTTATTTTCATAGGCCAAAAGGCTTTTCTCAGGAGGTCTGACCAGCTACTGTAGTCATCAGTATTTCAATAAGACGATCGTTTACTTCAGCCAAATGTGAAGCAGTCTGCAATGGAGACAGAATTCCTATTCTGCCACATAGTTAATCGTGGAATCAATAACGTTGGTTGTACAATAAAGAACAAATAATGACTTGAGGTAGTATTACTGTCACTGCTGCCATTCTGGGGAAACCATAGCATTTAGTGTTTAAACTACCAATGTATATCAGTACTCCTGTTCAGACCTTATCTCTGTTACAAATATCCAACTCTGGAAGAGTGGGGAGACTGATGAAGAACCATGAGAATGTACTTCCATGTTACTTCCATGTTTTCTTATTTCTACCACCTTCCCTGTCTCCACCTCTGATTTATTCTTGGGAGAGAGGAAAAACATCCAAAACAGAAGTTAGATTGACATGATTTTCAGAAGTATTTGATGAACAGGATTTCCTAGTCCATGGTGAACAACTAGTTCCTGAAGTAACATATGACAGAAGTATATAATAAAGACTTCTGTCTAAAGTTAACCAGAATGGCTACAATTACACGCAGGGAAGATTCAAACATTTTATATGCCTTTTCTAGGGAGAAATGTAATCTCTTATTTATGGTGATACTTTCCCTATAATTTTTATAAATTCTTTTAGAAGGAAATTATTTTATATGAAGGAAAATACATATTCATGCCCTAATATTCTAAGTTATGGTATAGCAGAGGAATTCTGCAACTACAGAAATCCAGTGACCTAAACTGGGTACTGCATTGGCAAACAGAAATGCCAAACTGTTACCAAGTGTTGCTTTCATGACGCTAACTATTATGTGGCAGTGCTTTTAAAAATATGGTTAGTTTTGCATACTGCAAATAATCAGTAATTACATGAATGAAAAATAACTCTATCTGTGAATGTGGGATTTTTGCTGTAAAAATTACAGAAGAAATGGTTTTTGGAGAGGTTGCTGCCTGTGTAAATTGGGTGCTTGAAGCCATTACAGCACAGCTAGCTGAGAATATGAAATTCTCATTATGAAGTGACCGATAGCACCAAAGGAAGCCAAAGCTAAAAGGTAATTGCTTTAAAATTACTTCAATGAATAGAACTTGTAGTTCACTTATGTTGTATTTTTTGTTTAATGCTTCCATATGTAATTCCTTTTTGTTTAGCAGGTAAATATGTGGGAGGAGAAACACTTTGGAATATAGCTTACAGCAGAATTTTTTCATTCTTAGCTACTCTATTGCACCTTCCAAATATTTGTTTAATTTCATCAGTAAGGCTGCAGAGGTGGAAATGTTTATGATTTCTTCACTGTTCACAAAGTTTTGTCTAGTAGGAAAAAGACTGTTAATTTTCAGAAGTTGTGATGTTCTGCATTTGCTGCATGGTGATTTATTACCTCTATCCCAGCTAATGTTACACAAAACCTTTGTGTCTATGTTAGCATTTTCTGGATACGTTACTCCCCTCTGTATTGCAGGGTTCTAGGAAGCATATTCAAAAAAATCTGATTTCATGAAAGATTGATAGCTTTAGTGAGATTTTCAGCAAGTATTTTTGATGTACAATTTGTTTTATTCTGAGGAAGAATATATAGGAATACGCACATATTGCTTTGGAATAACTAGATAGAAGTGCTGCAGTGAATCCTTTTGTTTGACTTCCTGTTAGCTGTGCTTAGTCTGTTCCTTAAAACGCCATCTACTTAGGAATGCTTTTTCTAGCTAGCTTGTTTTTTCAGTTTAGTTTCTAGCTGCACGGAATGGATTTGAAGTGACTTAGTGCTAGTGGTGGCAATGGTGATGAAGAGATGGTTGGACTAGATGATCTTGTAAGTCGTTTCCAACCTTGTGATTCTATGATTCTATGACTTTGTGATCTTACCCGTTAGTTTTCTAAAGAACTAGTGATGTTATACCTAATAGCTGATTAGGCAGCAGATCCTACTTAACTATCAAATAATACATTTGTTTCTTTTTTACACTCCCTTTGTTTTTCGCTTAATTTGTGTGCCTGTTCATGTCACTTCATGTGCCTTCTCCACTTCCTGCTTTCAGATGCTATTTGCACGTGAGATTGAGAACTGCAGTATGCTACAGTTACCTCTTTCAACTTTCACTACAAGCTTCATTTTCATTACTTCTTCAGATTCTGAATAATTTCGGATATCCTCTAAACTATTTCATTTGGTGTAAACATCTTTTAAAATAGGTGATTAGTTTAAGGTTGTGTCCTGATTTGTGATTTTATAAGACAGTAAGACCAGCAGGTGTTATTTTTGTGATTCTTCGTACATTTATCAACAATACTTTCAGCAAGTGAAATTGTTACCTACCTTTAAAAAGACTTAGGCTCAAATTTGACTGAGATTAATATATTTGTTTTTTTAGTGAAAACACCTAAGGTCAGATCCCTTGAGGCCTTGCATCTCTTGCATTTCTACAATATCCTGTTAGATCAGTGTGTATTCTCTGCTGAGCTTACATCCTTTTTCATAATGGTGCTGCTGATGTCTGATTTAGGTGAAAAAATCAGTCCTTGATGTACGTATGTCTCAACCTCCTGCTCTG